TCTGTCTGTGTGTGCGTGAGTGTGTGCGTGTGTGTGTGTCTGTCTGTGTGTCTGTCTGTGTGTGCGTGTCTCTGTGTGCGTGAGTGTGTGTGTCTGTCTGTGTGTCTCTGTGTGAGTGTGTGTGTCTCTGTGTGCGTGTCTCTGTGTGTGTGTGTGTGTCTGTCTGTCTGTCTGTGTGTGTCTCTGTGTGAGTGTGTGTGTGTCTCTGTGTGTGTCTGTGTGTCGCTGTGTGAGAGTGTGAGTGTGAGAGTGTGTGTGCTCTGACACTGCTGTGGTGTCTGCAGGAGGACGAGAGCGAGGCGGGGAGGAGAGATCGCTTCTGTGCTGCTGTTCAGGAGGCTCATGCGGCTCTGAGCGACCAGCGCTGTCGTAACGCTCAGCAGTCCTTCTCTGCAGCAATCAGGATCCTGGAGGCCAGCGGGACCACGGTACTGTGTGTCTGAGATATGTGACTGTAATGTGGAGTGAATGGTTTGGATCCTCGTTCATTAGTGTATTTCTGTGACTGACAGGAGCTGGGTTTGACAGAGCTGGATAAATCTGTGCTGATGTATGGATATGCAATGGCCCTGCTGGAGATCGGACAGCCTGAGGTAATGCACCACATGTTTACCTGAAGCGCAACATAAAAGAACGATGGCTTCATTCACACCGAGTGCGAACGTTTACCAGCTGATGGTCTTTTACTCGTATTGCGCACAAATACTTGCAGGAGACGAGCGTGACTGAAGTCATATGACTTTACCGCCAGAGAGATTTCACTGCATCACTGCATGAGTCTGACTTTGAATCTCTCAAATCAAGGAGTTCAGATGCAGAAATCAGACTTTATTGGTCAGGACAACGAAGCTGAGATGCCTGCAGGACATCTGACCGTCTCACTCGCAGTTTACACTTACAGAGTTGATCTCAAAGAGATCGTTGTTACCACTCATCTCATTTCCCTTTCTCTTCCTGGAAACTCCCCTGTACTCCAGACTGCCAACTAGCCTATGCTAAACATACCACAGAGTGATTATTCAGTGTGTCTGCCTCATTATTTTAATCTGAAGACTGTGTTTGAAGGCCATGCGGCCTAAAAGAGCCCTTGGCTCCTGCAGGCTATTCTACAAACATCTCATATGCTGGATACAAATATACTGTGTTTTTAGTTGTTGTTGTTCATTGATTGTGTTGTTTCTTGTGTTTGAAGGAACTGGCTGAAGCTCAGCGGTTGTTCACCAAATTAGAGTCATCAGAGAGGAAGTTTCAGTCGCTGGTGCATTATGGGATGGGCAGAGTTTACCTGAAGGAGAACAGGTGTGTGTGTTGAGTTTGAACGCTGCTGCACTGCATGCTGAATGTCTTTGACATCATTTCCTGTCTGTGTTCGATCTGTTGTAGATTTACTAAAGCTCTGGAGTGCTTCACTAACGCTCAGCTGATGATCCAGAGACGCATCACACATGGAAAACTCACCTGGCCAACCACTAAAACTACAGTAGAGGAAACACAGCCGGCCTGTTTAAAGGTGCATAACGTGTGTGTGTGTGTGTGTGTGTGTGTGTGTGTGTGATCATGACCATCAGGCCCAGAATATTCTGGCTTTAATGCAGTTCAAAGAAATCTGATTTATCCCATTAATGCATGTTTCTGCTTCTAAACCCCCTGAAACGTCGCTTGCTCTTTACTGTCTGTATAGATGCATGTTTGTTTATACAAAGATGAACGAATCCCAATGATTGTCTGCAGATGCTGAACTCATAATAACCCAGAATAGTCCCCGTGACCTTGCTTGTCATGCTGATGTATCTCTATCTGAAACAAGAAGTTGGAGCTTGTTCCTCTTTTTAAATAGTCAGTGGTGGAAGAAGCTCAAAACACTTTCATTCTCTGATAAGAACGACAAGGTCAGACGGACACACGTGACGACGCTTATGAGAGAAACCTGAGGATGGCACAGACGCTCACTGTTCTTATCTGTTTACTGCAGGATTTTCTAAAAGATTCATGTTTTACACCAGACTGTGGAGGTCAGGTCTGTCACATCGTAATATATGACTCGATGGGGCTGATAAAGTGTGAGGTGAGACATCTCTCTCTCTCACACACACACTCTCACACTCTCACACACACACACACTCTCACACACACACACACACACAGGTTATGTACAAATCATCCAAGCACCCAATTCCTGGCCTTTTCTATAGGCTACATTTCATTAACATTGCTAAATATTATTAAACTGGAAAGAAATTAAAGATCCATGATCCATCTTTGATTGTCAAAAGAATTCCAATTGTGGAGGTCTGATTGGTTAAAGCTTTATTTATATAGCACCTTTTAAAACAGTGTATACAAAGTAGCCTATTTTACAGAGAGATGCATGTGTGCGTTTGCAGAAAAGATCAAAATACAAAGATAAAAGAGATATAGTAAAACAAAGTAGCTACAATAACCAGTTTGTTAAAACAAAAATACAACAATAAAAAAATCAAGGAAAGACCCTGCACAAATCTGTTTTGAGACTACTTTTTAAAAGTGCATAATGATAACCTTTGACAACGTTTAATTCAGGTGCGAAAATAATTAATATCTATAGCGCATGAGCACAGAGAGATTTGAAAGTGCACAGGACAGTTTGAGTGAGAGGAGAGACACGTTTAAGTGCGCGCACTCTCTCTGGGCGAGAGCAGCGTGTATCTGAGCGCGCGAGTCCAGTTTTGTGCGAGAGCAAAAGGAAATCCGAGCGCGAGCGGAGAGATTCGCGCTCGCGCATTGTAATGTGCTTTCGCGCTACAATAATGCGCTCTCGACATTTGTCATTAAAATAACGCCATAACACACACACACACACACTCATACACACACTCACACACACTCATACTCACACACACACACACACACACTCATATATATACACACACACACACACACACACATTTTAAATAGCTTTTACATAAAATTGCTTACATTTTTATTTCATTAGGTGCCAATTGCAGGAATTTAGAAATCTTAAGGGGGATGGTCAATATTTAAAAAACATGTCAGCATCGAATAATTAGCTGGAAGCATTTTTTAGTCATGGTGAAGCTACCATATATGACTATTCATAAAAAAAAAAAAAAAATAAAAATTTAATCCACAACCCAAAC